AGACATCTGCATGGTTCACACCTTAGATTCGTCCAAGTCCCTGGCCACTCTGTCTAAAACAGTGTCCCTCTGTCTCCCACATCGCCAACCTCCATTCTTCTCTACTGCAAAAGCCCATATCGTGCTGCTCATTCTCAGCACTGTTCGCCCCTGGTGGACCACAGCCCAGTCCCTGGTGGAGAGGGTGCTTCTTATCTGAAGCCACATGGGATTCTCATGGTCCCTCAAAGGTATCATCTCAAGCATAGGAAAGAAAAAGTTTGAAGGTTTTATAAAGAACATAATATGTTGAAGGTTATGTAAGCAACATCACCAATAGTATGAATCACCATTTTTTTTAACAAAATGAAAAAAAAAGGTGTGCCTTTAGAAAAGTACGAATGAGTATACTCATTTTTAGGCCATCCTTTAGCGATCTTACCTTTTCTTTCAATATCTACATGTGAAAAGGTTATGATGACCCTTGATAAAATCAAGAACTATTGTTAAGTATGTTATTAATGGATCCTGGCTCAGACATTGAGAATGAGTGTCCCTCCTGAATAAGGACACAAAAACCTGGTGATGATTCTTCTGGAGAAGTTACCAGTACTTGCAGTTCATTGAGAATAATGAATAAGGATTTTTTTGTACGTGCCTATTAAGAGAAGCTGACTTGGTCCCCATGGAAGTCATCCTTTTGGAGCAGGCCTGGTGAATGATGAAGTGGGTTTTGTGTAAAATGTAAATTCACATTTTGTGGAAACTGGAAGTTCATTCATCTAAATCATTTCTGTTATAGTCTATGACAGCTTCTGAAAATTGCCAGGGTGGGTTTTTTATTTGATCTTTCAACATTATTGGAGGTCATATAAACAGGATTATATGAAGTCTTTCACTGCCAATTAGCATAATTCTAAGTCAACATTCTGTCAACGATGTGCAGATTTTACAGCATAAGGAGGAAGAGAGAAAAGCTCATTTTTCCTTCAAATGGAATTTCCTGCTTTTGGTTAGTGCTTAATTAAAAAGAGAGAGACGGAGGGAGGGAGTAAGGAAGGAGAGACAGAGGAAGCGGGCAAGAAGGGAAGGAGGGGAAAAAACTACTAAGTTTATTTTAAGATGTTTTGGGAAATTAATTCCATTCCTTATGTTCGTCTTAAGGAAAAACAACAGAGCTATTGAAAGGTTAAAAAAATCCATTTTCTGTGAAAACTGGATGTCTAAATGGTATTCCAATTTTATAATATAAAACGTGACTCTTTTGAACCTAACATGTAGGAACCTTATTTTTAGCTAATACATCTAGCACAGGGCACTCTTTTTTTTTTCATGAAAATGAAGAAACAGACCTTATTTCATTTATTTGTGAATATCAGCCCCATCATTAAATGTAATTTGCCTGACTTACACATGCCTTCAAGGATTATGGGGCACTTCTGGGACAATACGCTCCACCAGCCTCCACAAACATAGGAAGAACTGCTTCGTTTGAAAATCCTTTATAAATTCTGGATTAAGTTTTCACCTTCTCCTTCATAGCTCTGCAGGGAACCTTCCAGGGATGGATGAGAAAAATCTTAGTGTCAAATAAATGATCACCCTTATCTCTACAGTATCCTTGTTAAAAGGAAATGATATACTTCGAGCTAATAAAGTTGGAAAGAGTCAATCAATGAAATAAAATAATCCAGTGAATAGATGGTTTTCTGATCTAGCAATCCACGACCTACAGGGAATGGCTGATTTCAGGTGTTCAGCTTCAGAATACATCCTACCCCTAGAGTTAGACCAGGAATCCCAGTCTGTCTCTTACTCTCTGTGTGACCTGTATGTCCTCATCCACAAATCAAGGGAAATTATCTTCTCTGCCTCAAAGCTGTGATGAGCACTACATCACATAACACATGACCATGACTGATCAGGGTCTGCCATGCTGCCCCTGGTATCATCATCCACTTCATCCACCACAGTAGCTTCCAAATTAACCCTATGGCCAATCTTGCTGCCTTTAAACCCATTCTCAAAATTGCAGCCAGAGTGAAGTTTTCTAAAATATGAACTTAATCACAACTTTCCATGCATAAAATAATCCTTCTTCATTGTCTGTAGAAGAGTGTCCAGGGTCCCTAAAGTGGCAGATCAGGCTTTCAAAACCAAGCCCTTGCTTCCTCTTCTACTATCTTCCCCCATCCTTCTTCTCTCTTCCTTTATTTCCTGACCCTGCGCTGAATTTCCAGCCACACAGAACCATGTGATAATCATGAAAAATTCATTCCAGTTACTGGCACTCTTCTGTCTGTACCTTCCCCTGCCTAGAACAGTCTTTCCATTCCTATCTTCAAAAGGTGGGAGCAAACTTTTTTTTTTTCTCTTAAAGCAGAAAACCCCAGTCTCACCAATGTACATTGGAAGGGAAAGGTGATCTACTCCAGTGATGTTCAAAGAGGAGCAGGTGCCAATTTGCTTCCCAAAGAGAGGATCCATTGTGAACTCAGGCCTGCTGTTCTGCACACTCCCGCTGTGGCCTCTTGCTGGCACTGTTCATGTAGTCATAATCTATGCATTCCCAAAGTCATCCTGGCCAGCTCATGACACATCTTAAAGAGCATCTGCAGCACAGATTGAACCAACACTTAAAAAACACTGGGAAATGATAAACATATGATTCCATGTAAGTAATTACATGGTTGCAATGAAACTTGAAGATAATTTCTCCTCGTGCCCTGCTAAACTATACGTGTACACAGGTAATGAGCCAGCTACTTCTCAGTTAGCTTTGGGAAGCGAGTAAAAGAACAGGACAGTGAGCTGAAATGTACTGACAGTGTCTATCTGGGGTTACCGTGCATTTGGAGATGCTACAGAGGGCCTTTACGGGATCCATGAATACCCACACCTGCCAGGGCTCAGCCACCCCTTCTTAGGGTCCTTGTGAGAGAGAAACGCACAAGAGAAAACAGAAAATAAAAAGCCCAGAGTTCTATTAGGTGGACTTTCACTCGAGACTCCAATTATAAGTTCTTTGGTTACTCGGACTGGTGACATGGTCTGGATAACACAGTACACAACAGCCTAAGGGGTTTTATCTACCCTTCAAGTCCAGGTACAAGTCCACGTTTCTCTGGGTGGCCCCATATAAAAAAAGACTTCAGAGATTAATATCTAGAGCATATATTTGAGAACGGTAGAGACAGAGTAACTTGTGGGGCCGCTCCTACATAGACGCGTTGCCTCACTTAGATCGCTGCTTTAGTCTTTAACGGAGGTAAGACAAAGAAAGAGGATCATGGCTATTTAGGGGATCTTATAACAGTGATCCTGCCCACTCTGGATAGTGCCCCAGAATATCACTTTCCCTATACCATCCGACTTACTTTTACAAATAACCTTCTGCATCAACACTCTGGTCCTGAAGCCACGGAGTAAGCTGGTTCCAGACTCTAAACTTAGTTTCTTCATCTTTCAAGTGATGCATTAGGCAAGATGCACCTGTGGTTCTTTCCAGCTCTGGTGTTATATTATGTGACCATAAATAAACATTACATTCTATAAAGCAAGAGCATTCCTGAACTCCAGTCCTTCTCCCAACAGGGAAATGAGTTCCGTTTGGATATAAATTTTACTTTCATGGTCTGCACACCTCCATCCCTGGGCAGCTCTTTTATATGAGGCTGAATGAGGAGACAGACTCAGCAAGCATCGATCCTTACTCCTCGAACAGAAGCCCCAAATACTTTAATTCAGAAAACTCAGAGCATAAAAAATTAGGAAATTTACTCAACCTGCTCTCTAGAGAATTCTAACGAGCATCAACAGAGTCCACAACAACGGACAAGAATTTCCCATATAAACAGAATAGGATAGTCAGCATTTTATTTTCACTTCTCAATCATATTTTTAAAGTATAAAGAATTTTTAACATGCTTTAAACTCTGAATTTTCAATAAAATGCAAATGTGACATTATAACACATAAGATCCATAAAGTCCAAAATATTCGGAAAAAGCTGCCAAAACCTGAGGTTGGTGGAAGGTCCGTGGGAGGGACAGATGAGAAGAAGCATAGTGAGTGGCAGGATGGTCCGACACTGAAATCCCAGGACACGTCAGCAAAGATGCACTTCCTAAATGTGAGGTTTGTGGTCTAACGTGAAGACGCCATCACCCCTCTTTGCACCATGTAAGGGGGCCATGTGAGAGGGTTTGGCGAGGAGGCAAGGAAAGCTCCACTGACAAAGAATTATCCAGATCAGCAGTGTTTGAAGGATCAGGGTAACCAAGGACAAGGAGAGAGCCTCTAGAGTGTGAATAGTCTCAAAAGAGGTTCTTCTCTCACATGCTGGAATCCCCTGAGAACAGGTGGCCTGAGAAAAGCCCATTTCATTAAGACACGGATAATAAAACAGGAACAAGGCATCATTCAAGACACTGTTGAAAATAAGGACAAGAGGAGCAAAATGTACCATGAGATAAAGATTTCTCATCAGAAGACTGTGAACAAACATGCGCTCAGTTGAAACAGATTAATAAGGCCATTGATGTTATTGAAGGAGACCACAAGCAGAAATGTAGAAGGCAGGAGAGACTGGACAAGACCCCGGGAAGAGGTTAAAGAGGAGCAGGCATTGCCAAGAGTGATGTGGGATAAAAGAAAGGGAAGCAGAAAAGAGGTGAAGGAAAGAAAGAACGCAATAAAGATAGGAAGGAAGGAAGGATACAGAAATTTTGATAAGAGTCCTAAGATTTGAGGGGAGACTTTTAAATATTATACCTTTTTTGTTATTTGGTGGGGGGTAATTAGGTTTGTTTATTTAATTTTGGATGGAGGTACTGAGGATTGAACCCAGGACTTCGTGCATGCGAAGCATGGGCTCTACCACTGAGCTATACCCTCCCCTTCTCCGAGGGGAGACTTAACAGTATATTATTCAATTTCTGGATAATATGAATTATTATGTGTAAATTTTTTAAAGCAGAAAAAAAGAACAAGATAGAAATATAGCAAGAGGACAGGAAGGAAAAGGAATAGGCTTACCTCAGCCATTAACGCAGCCAGATGTGTTCAGCAGACACTGAGTGTCATTGCACGTCAGGCACTGGTCTAGTACTGAGCGCTTACCAATAAGGAAAGCAGAAAGAAGTTTCCGCCCTCGTGAACTTTCATTCTAAAGAGGGGAGATGGTCAACAGACAAACAAAAGCATATTATACATCAGAAGGTAACAGATGGAGGAAAAGAAAACACAGGAAGCGAGATAGAGCATGTGCGGGGAAAGAGGCGCTTCTGCCTTAGATAAGGAGTCAGGGAAGACGTCATAGCTAAGGGGACACCGGGCAGGGTCCTAGGAGTGAGGGAAGGAGGCTTGCAAATGTCCTAGGCAGAAAGACGGGGGAGCGTTAGAAGCCCTGAGGCAGAAATGTCTTAGCTTTTTAGAAACTGGAAGCCGGAATAGCCACTTGCAGGAAGACACATGTGAGCAGGAGGAAGCGCAGACAGAGAGGGAAAGAGGGCCGGTGTGTATGTGGCTTGGAATATCATTTTAAGGGCTTTATCTTTTTCTCTGAGAAAGAGGAGAAAATGTTGAAGAGTTTTGAACAGAGAAGTGATGATAAGACCTGACTTCTATTTTAGGTCAAACCACCACTCTGGGTGCTGTGCTAAGTTAGCTACTACTTAGAGCGAAGGCCAAAAGAGCTAAACACTCTTTTCATTTAGATAATCACTAACGGGGGGAGGGCGTGGCTCTAGTGGTAGGGCACATGCTTAGCATGCACGAGGTCCTGGGTTCGATCCCCAGTGCCTCCTCTAAAAAAAAATAAATAAAATAAATTACCTTCCTTCCAGGTGAAAAAAAAGAACTGGGGGAAAAAAAAAGAACTGCTAGTTAAAAACAAAACAGGAGTTAGAGAATTGGCCCGTCCAAATACAGCCACCTCCGCTCCCTCCTCACCCCTGCCTTGTCAATGTAAAGAGGAGTCTGGGATGCAAGGCGGGCAGATCTCGAAATCATTGTACAAGCTACTGGAAGGGGTAGTTTTAAGAAGGGGTTTTTATTCTCTGATTCATTACCTGCCTAACTGTAGATCTCTAGAATTGCCTCTCTAGTACCAGAAAAGAAGAGCAGAGGACTGGGAAGAGGTGGCACGGTGGGGACCAGCCTGAAGGACAGACACATGAGACCACTTTGCCTTCAAACTCAGTTTTGAAATTGAGGTGTGGAAGTTGAATCCCAAGAATGCCTTCACTCTCAGGGGCTAACAATAGAAGATAAAAGAGAGTGGGAGGTGTGGTGGCGCTGGGGTATGTGTGAGAGGCGGTGGACAGAAGGAAGAGAAGATTTCAGAGGCATTTTTTTGACCCCAGCTGTAGGTCTGCCAGGGCATGGTACCAAGTCTTTTTACAAAAGTGGCAATGAGCTAGAACAAAAGTTTTGAAAACACGAAGAAAAGACTTCAACTGCATCTAATAAAAAGACATTTGTGACATAATGTCCTTTGCAGCAACATAGATGGACCTAGAGATGCTCACGCTAAGTGAAGTAAATCAGACAGAGAAAGATGAATATCATCTGATATAACTTAAATGTGGAATCTAAAAAAAATGAAACAAATGAACTTATTTACAAAACAGGTCTAGACTCACAGACATCGAAAATAAACTGATGATTACCAAAGGGGATGGGGGAGAGATCATTTAGGAGTTTGGCATTTGCAGATACAAACTACTGTATATAAAATAGATAAACAAAAAGGTCCTAGAATTTAGCACAGGGAACTACATTCAATATCTTGTAATAACCTATCATGGAAAGGAATCTGAAAAAATTACACGTATATGAATATATATATTTACATATAACTGAATCACTTTGCTGTACACCTGAAACTAACAGAACATTGTAAATCAACTACACTTCATTTTTTTTTAAAAAAAAGAAGAAATTTGTGTTTTCTGTCTCCAGCTATGACACAAACTCTCAGAACTGGAGAAAAGCACTTTCCGTCTCTATACCAACATGCAGGCTGTTTGCATAATGCTGTGATTACAACGATTTTGCATTGTGTATAGACAAACTTAAAAAAAAAAACAGTACATGTGATATGTAAAAAGAGCCCCCAGAATGAGGAGGTAAAACAAGGGCTGAAATTTGGAAATCTGTGATTTAATTCAACGCACTGACTTGACACACCACGAAAGGGACGGAAGGAATGTGACTTTCATGAGGTCACACGGCCAGGTAGTAGTAGCTTAGCAGTGTAGAGCACAGAGCTCCATTCTCTCGTTTCATTCGAGGGTCTTACAAAGCTGATCAGAGAAGCAGACAGCACACTAATCATGTGACATGCGGCTGTGGGCATATTTATGCTCACAGCAGCTTGTACCATCTCCAAAAATAAATGGTCGCACACAGAGAACACATAGAGCCATGAACCAAAGCTCTGGTGCACTTACACTATGGTGTTATGATGATAATTTATAATGCTATTGCAATTATAGTAGAATTATGGCACGCCCAGCACCTAATAGAGCTGTGTGCATACTCTCGAGAAAGACAAATGTGCTGGCAGTTCTAGCTGCAGAAATGAGATGAGATGGCTCCCATCCCCAATCCTGCCATTGATTTTTGTAGCCCTGCCATTAACAGGATACTTCACATACCATCCCTCCATCATTTCTCGGAGGTAAAGACACAGTTGCAGAGCGTAAATAATTAGACCCTCAAAATCCAAGGTGACAAGTCTTACATGCCTCCAAATGCCACAGATCAGGACACATAAATCAGAGCCTCTTTCCAGGATGTGCACATGAGGAAAAGACGTGTTTACCGAGTGATACTGCTTTTCATTTCTCTCTCTTTCTCTTTCCTCCTTTTGCCTCCTTATATGTATACCCTTGACTTTGGATGTGAATCAGTTTTACAGGGTGACTACATAAATCAGGACATTTTTGTAAAGGAGAGGGTGAGGGGGCCTTACAAGAGGACAGTTAGACCAAACAGGGACAGTCCCTGGCAAACAAGGACACGTGTTCATCCTAGTTTGAGGTCATAATGCCTTATAACAGTAAGGTTGGTCTAAGCTTTTTGGTGTCTCATAGAATACTTTAATGTGGGCTGCTGAATATTGCCAAAAAGATAATGCAGTAAAGGGCAATAAACAATACTTACCGTGGCTGCCTTTTATTGAGTGGCTACTTTGTGGTCCTAAATGTTCGGAGTAATGATTAAGAGCATTAATTAGATTGCTTATAACATCCTGGTAGATTGATCAACCACTCTGTGCCTTTGATACGTAGAAAGCACTGGAGCAAACTAGCACTGGAAGAGATGAGCCTTCACAACTGTACACAGAGCTCTTTATAGACACGTAACACTGTCTGATCCTTTCAGGGGCCCGATGAAGCAGGTGTCATTCACCTCATTTTTCAGATGAGAACACTGACACTCAGCAAAGGTAAGCTACTTTCCTGAGGTCACGAAACTATTAGAAGTTGGAAAGTTTGTATTCAAGATCAAGGCTGTCTTCACTCTTAACTATTTCACCATCTCACATTGTAAGTCCTAAATTAGTGTTAGCGGAACAGAAGTTGAAATGCTTGGTTTAACCTTGGATTACATACTTATTCGTTTATTCACTTACCCATTCAACCCTCCTTAGGCATTTTATATATGTGTTTATTTATTTGTGTGCTATTTACTTATACAAACTCATCGCATCCCAGAAAGATTTACAGTTTACAAAAACACGTGCATTTAAAAAATACACATATGCTAAGAAATCAGGAAGAAAGGAATTAAGAGTAGAGAAAAACTAAGATGAAGCCAAGGATGAAGTTAGTATTCAAAACGTGAATGAGCTTTTACTGAGCTGACATCATGTAGGAACTGGAAATTCAGAAGTAAAATGACAAGGTCTCGTCTCTTCAAAAACTCAAATTCTAATGGAGGGAATGGAATAAGTGTACAAATCATTACAGGTACAAGGGAAAATTGGGGAAAACGTACAAGACCCAGTGGGGGCACATCAGGGGGACACACCGCATCCTATCTGCATAACACTCATGCAACCTGACAGTTCCTTAGTTTATTTGCTTGCCGTCTGTCTTCCTGCTCTCTTGTTTACGCTTTATCTCCCCTGCCTGCCACAGTAGAAAGTGCTGAATGAATGCGTGAGCCAGTGAGGCTAAAAACAGTCCTCTGTTGTGCACAGCTTGTGAGTCGTGAACTGCAGCACGACCTCCACTCTAGCTGCCTCCCCTAGACCTTGGAGGAGAACTGCCCAGGTAATCACATGATACGAACACTGAAACTAGGCAAAGATTCAAAACTAGTTCATGGAGAATGGGTCTGGGTGTACATATCAACCCGCAAGCCAAAACAACAACAACAACAACAACAACAAAAAAACAGAACACTATTACTAAGGGAAGAGTGGTACTTCTAGAAAAGCTAGCATGTCAACGATGAGTGATTTGTCCAACTTGACACGCCCAGTAAGAGGCCAGTGAGGTGTTTAAATCCAACACTTTCTGTCTCCAGGTCTGTCTCCTTTCTACCACGCCTCCTTGGAGAAATGAAATTGGGCAGGGGATCTGAGAAAATACCTACAGAAAGAGAAAAAGGGGGGGCTAAGGGGTTTAGGGTACAAAGGAAGGACAAAGGAAGGTGGAAAGTCAGAATAGACAAACGCTTATTGATTCACTTAAAAAAAAAAAGACAGATTTCAGCAGCAGAGAAAAATTGCCATGCATTAATCAATGCATTATTAAAATACACTGAGACAGACCGATGGCCTCAGCCTTTTGAAAATTTACTAGTTTAGCTTCTTTTTAAATTTTTCTTCACATTTCCTTATAGAGAAATCTCACTGCATGCTTTGCAAATTGGTTTGAGAATCAGGAAAGAACTCTTGGCCAAATTCTAGAAATTCTGTAGTCTAAAACTAGCCTTTTCAGTCATAACAGAAAGCTGAGGCAGTAACTTCCTTTCCTTTGGGCTTCGGGTTTTGTTTGTGACAAGTGAGGAATATGGAATCAGTTATCCCCAAGGACCTTTCTAGAGCTGCCTGTATTTCCAGGGCTCTGGACAATAAATAATGGAAGACCTGGTTCAGACAAGTGGTTCTTTGTCAGTGTGTATAAGATGGTAATGTCACTGTTTTAATTA